CGCACCTCTGCATAGGGATCACACCTTGAGAACCACCGACCCAGAACATCTCTGGAAGGGTGCACAAGAGAACGGACATTCTTGCTTCTGAGAGTAACCCAGTGACTGGAGGACAGTGGACTTTTGGACCAAATACCCCTTTATACTTTTTGCGGTCAAATGCTCTATCCCTGAGCTAGCCCCTCTTTTACACTTTTTGAACTTTATTTCATATGCATGTATTATCTAGTAAAAAAGAAAAAGGAAAAAAAAAGACTTTAAGCATCTTCCATTCTTAAAAATGAACTCCAAAAATAGACAGTGACCTATAATTTGTAAATCTTTCCAGCGTTTCCATTTCTTTGTGGCATCTCTTAGAATGGATTTTTTTTCTAAGCACAAGTGAATGGTTCTCACTTCTCTGCCTCCCCCTTGTCTGTCTTCACAGACTTCCTTCCCGCCAGAGGCAGGAGCTGGCTGATACTCAGGCATCAGATTCAGCCGTATTTCAGCATGAGGCGAGGTAGCCCCACCAGTTATTGCATTTATGTAGCCAATTTAAGCAACTTAGCCTTTGTAATTTGATATTTGAGTGGCTAAAGCGTCGTGTTATTTTTGAACGTTCGGGATTACCTTCCCTTTTGTGCTTTTTGTAAACGGAAGGCTTTTCCGATGACACTGTAATCTTCCCCCACCCATGTGCCCTGCATGGAAAATTGAACATTGTCCATCTCGATCTGAGCGGGAGGATAGAGACTATTAGGCATTTTAATAAAATTACATACACTCTTATGAGCTCTGCAACATTTAAACCTTTCCGTACCAATGACGGCCACTTAGCCTGAGGCTTCCTAGGCTATTTGGTTAAAACAAACAAACAAAAAAAAAAGCATTTACCACTGGAAATTGGTCCTGTTTGAGAGTTTCCCTCTAATAGGTCATTGATGTGTTAGAACCTGTGGTATTTTAGTGAGAGGCGGCATCAGGCTACACAGGTCTCGTTGACACTTGTCCCCTTCATTTGTTTAAACATTCCTTTGGGCTTGGCCAGGCGATTCTGAGGGACACGCAACAGCCATCTCTTGGGGCGAAAGCGGATTCTCAGGGACCTGGGGATGCGTAGTTAGAATGTCTCACAATCTGTGAGTCGTGGTGACAGGACTAGGAGGATTTTGAGAAGGAGAGGACATTAAAATGAGAAGGTCCGGCAGGCAGAGGAGACGGTAATCCTAGCAAGCCCAGGTGGGCAGGGGCTGTGGTAGTTGGCAAGTCCTACATGACCTAGAGTCATGTAAGGATCGGAATTTCTGTGGCATGCTCGGCATCCAGCCGCTCGTGTCCACCCAGGATGAGCAACCTTGTGACCATCATCTGGGCAGATGACCAGGAAATGGAGGTAGCAACGTGTGGAGGCAGGTATGTGATGTCCCTCCCCTTTCTACCCAGCCCTGACCATTGATGTGCGGTCATCATGTCAGCTCCAGGATGCCAGGAAGTGACCCGCACATCCCTCTTGTAGAATCTCTATTGTACTGTGGAGTAGAGTCTTCTAGGCATGGAATAGACTGGTTTTCCAAGTAGCTACATGCGGACGAAAGGAGATTTGGCTGCTCCAGTGGCTGTGGGACAGAAGGGTCCAAGGCTGGAAACTGGCCCCTGTGTTCTTCAGAAGAACGTTAATAGAAGAAGGAGGCTTCTGTGATTTCCTCTGTGGGTGGCTGACCAGAGATACACATAGACTAGGTTTGAATCCTACTTCTACTCCTTAGCGGCTGTGTGACACTGGGCAAGTTACCTGCCCTCTGTTCCGTTTTTCCTCCCTTTCAATATTCAAATATTTTGTTTCCCTAAAATGATATTATAAAAATATTTTTTTCTATCTTCATTGGGGTACAGTTGACAAATGAATTGTTTATATTTAAGGTAAATGCCCTCGGTTTCTTTTTCTTTTTTAATTTTTTTTAATGTTTATTTTTGAGAGAGAGGAGAGAGAGAGAATGTGAGTGGAGGAGGGACAGAGAGAGAGAGAGATTGAGAGACAGAGTCCGAAGCAGGCTCCAGGGTCTGAGCTGTCAGCGCAAAGCCCGATGTGGGGCTCGAACTCATGAACTGTAAGATCGTGACCTGAGCCGAAGTCAGATGCTTAACCAACTGAGCCACCCAGGTGCCCCGTATCGCTTTCTTTATCGGTATAATTGGGAATAAAATAGCTCCAGGTGAGGTGAAAGCGGCTGGTGTATCTGGCCCGTGGTTTGTGGGCCGCGGGTGTTAGTGGGGACCCTCACTTCTGCCCCTGCCATGAAATCAGATGCAGTTGTGGGTTCTCCAGGCCTCGCCAACAGGAAATCTCCCAGCTTCCCAAGGAGCAGGGCTGCTTTGCTGGCTGGGAGGGAAGGGGCCCACCGTGCTGTGGCCTGGGTTACTTCTGTGCTAGCCTAGCATCTGTCACTGGTGTAGAAATGCACACAAAAGCAGATGCCCTCCGGTGTCTTGAATGCCGGGGAAGCCGGCCACTGGGAGCCTTCCCAGCTCTCCCTCTGGCTTTCTGCCCACCCACAGAGCTCAGGTGTGTGCTCTAACTGCACCATTTTTTGACTTGGGCTGCTCAGAATTCAGGTGCTGCGTCGCCTGCCGTATGTAGTGTCCCATGGTGCGATTCAGAAAATACCCTTGCTGTCCACCGAGCCCCCCAGTCCCTGCAGAGTATGCGCCCGGCACTGCGCCGCGGGCCTGCTGGGCCGGTGCGCTCGGCCCCAGCCTGTCGCAGTGCCTCCTCCTCGGCTCCCTGCTGCTCCCTGGAAGAACACAGTTGGGCAGATAAAATACTAGATAACCATGCTGCCCTTGCTGTGCACTGTGGTTCTTTCTGTCTGCTGTGTTTCTTCTCCGACACCTGTTTTCTTCTAGGATTTGCTTGTCCTTTAATGCTTTCTCCTTAGCCGAGCCTTTGTGGTTTTTCTTTCCCCAAATAAGCCATCCACCTTCTCCTCCCTTTCCCACCTCTCCTCCCCAGAGACTAATTTGTTTTGTACACTGTGCCCTCTCCGACAACCTTCGCTCAGTTCTGCCCATCTATTCTGCTGCTGCTCCCCTGTGCTCTTGATTTCAGGGACTGCGTTCTGTGACCGTGTGGCAGGGTTTCCAAGGCAGTTGCATGAGGCCTGGAGTACACTTCGTTATGAAGCCCCCTGCCTGGGCTGGGGGTCGGGAGGCTTGAACTTCCCCCTGGCATTGGCCACCTTCTCCACCTCAGACTACTGATGTTCACCTACCTGCCGGTGCCCCCCCCTTGCCACTCCCCACCCCCTGCCAGTGGGGTGATGTTGTCAGATGTGGGGTTTTTTTCCTTGCAATAGAATGGAAATTGCATTGGCCAAAATTCACCTCTGGTAAAACAGCTCTCTGACCCTTGAATTTGACTTCTTATTTTCCCTCAATATCATCTTGTGTGTTATGTTTTTCAGATGGTAGATCGGTGAATGGGAAGTATTTTCAGTGTAAATTCAGTTTCAAATAAATCTCATATTTTCTTACTCGTTTCTCTGAAAATTCATAAAATAGTGATGGAAAGAATCCCTCTTCTTTCATAAAAGAAAGTCAAAGTTTTCGTGGCGCTCTGAGGATAGCACATCACATCGTAGGCACTGTATGTGTGTTGCTATTATTAGTGGATTTCGAAGTTGTTACTGTGTGCATAGATGACCTAGACTCTGTCTCTTGCACACCTCCTCCCCTCCCCCTTTCCCCCATCTAAAACAGAGGACCACACACCATTCTGTGGCTATTTGGTGAATAGTGTACCGGACTTTGTAGATGGCATCCCTCTTCCTTCTAGAAATTTCTGAAAAGATACTTCTTAGTTCTGCTCTCCTCTGATGTTTAACCAAAATGGGAACTCCATGTCTGTAGGCAGCCTAATCAATTGTGGGAACCACGACTCCTCGGTGTCAACAGTAAAGGCTCTCATGTGTATTCTTTTGTAACGCTGCTCCCTCATTCACACCTTATGCTATTTGCGGATGTTGTTATGTAATTTAGGGTAGTTCGGGGAATCTCAAAGATTAATGGTGCTTTTAATCATGGTGTCCATTCCATTCTGGCCGGGGCAGTGGGAGTCGGGGGCTCTGCACCAAACCTGGCAGCCCATACAGTCCCCCTCGCTCTTCTGTGCCCCACCCCCCCGCCCCCTCCTGCCTTGCTCCCTCATCAGGAAAAAGAAAGGTTTGGAGCAGATTATGTGGAGCTCAAGAACTTCAGAAACCCACACTGCCTCTTCTTGTTGCTTTGGAAGGAAGGGCTAGACTAACACCATCCAACAAGAATAGAATGCAGGCCACACGTGTGATTTAAAATTTTCGAGTAGCTACGTTAAAAGAAAAGGTGAAATTAATTTTAAGATAGCTGACATCACTTCGCCGTGTAATCGACGTAAAAAATTATTAGATATTTTACACTGTTTTTTTGCTGTGCTAAGTCTTTGAAATCCAGTGTGTACTTTACCCTTATGGACGTCTTCATTTCGACCAGCCACATTTCCAGTCCTCGGTGGCCGTGTGACTGATGACTGCACCATGGGCAGCACGGGTCTTTCTGCACCACCTGGAGTCTAAGACCCACTCGTGCCCAGAGGAGCCATTGCCTGCGTCTTGGTCTTTGCAGTCTGTGGCTGGAAATGATAAAGCAGGGACCAATAGGAGATCATCCGAACTGAGGTCTCTTTGTAAGACCTGCTTTTCTCAAACAACACTGCCCCTTAAAGCAAAACTCATGCTTTAAGACGCATTCTGCCGACATGCAGTTTGGGGGACGTGCTCGCAGAGGGTGTTCAGAAGGCCTGGCTGTTTCTGAGCAGCTGCGGACAACACTAAGAGGATGCATTCCATGATGTTGAGGAACAGTTTCGGCTTAACCCTCCATTGCCCGGAGCCAGGTTGGGAGGGTAAGGGAATTTCTCATGGGGACAGAAAATTAAGAAATAAATCAAGGCTTTGTCTTTGTCTTTTCATTTAGTGGAATAGAAGATGAACTCAGCTGAATTCAGTGAAGATGTAGAAGAAGGTAAAAAAAAAGCTTCTTTTTAAAACATATTTTTAATTTTAATATTTTTTATTAGGTCATACACTCAAATGGTTCAAAATATAAAAAGATACATAATGAAAAATCCGTGGAAAGTCTCCTCCCACGCCTGCTTATCCCCCTCTGCCCGTACACCTGCTCTAAGTATCGTATGTATCTTTCCAGAATTACTTTTTTTAAAGTATCATTTAAAAGATAGTATTTGTTTCTTTCTCTCCGTCTCGGCTCTTTCCCCCCAAAAAGGACCTTAGAACCAGTTTTGAACAAAATGTTCTCGGATCGTGATTTTATTGTATAGCACTAATGTGGTAAGATAAAAACTGCTAGGTTGGAAGGCGCAGTTTTACTGTGACTAGACTTTCTTACGTGAGTGCTAGTGTCAGAGGGCACCCCGCAAACACCCTGCCGCTCAGGGAACCCTGCTAATCTCCCAGCGGCCCAGTGGTCTTTCCCACTGAGCCCTATTTCTTCTCTGCCACAGTTCTAAAAAATAACACAGTGAAAGTGGAGACAGAGGCCGAAGATGCTGCCCTGGACTGCTCAGTGAGTTCCAGGTCTTCCGAGAAGCACCCTCTGGACAGCGTCTTCCCTGCCCTCCAGGATTCCAGCAAGCGAAAGCCCCCGGGCTGCGATGGCCAGCCTGACTCTGTCCCCAGCGTGAAGAGGCGGCGGCTGATTCCCGAGGTGAGGGCCCAGCTCCTTCCGCTGTTCGCTTGGGCTCTGACCCTCTGACTAGATGCTCTGTCTCTCTCCTCATGAGCGTCCAGGCAACTGCTGAATGCCTGGGCGCGAGAAGGCTTTCGTCTCAGCTGTCCCCTCGATGGCTTAGGTTTCTAGAAGGTGACTTCTCCGACTGCAATTCTTACCTACATCTGGATTCCTTACGGGGCTAGGGGAGTCTCCACAATGCACCTGCTTTTGAGTTCTTTGTTTTGCTTTGCTCTCACTTGACAGCAAGTACTGTTCATTAAAGCCTACCACATTTTACATAGTATACACTGCACACAGATTCCTTGAAAAGTTGAGGGTTGGGAGGTCTTTTCCTAAGTCAAACCGATCTTTTATGTTAGGAGCACGTGTCCGGTGAATCTTTTTGTGAAGAGAATTCTTTTGTAACATGCCTGTTACCCGCTAACCTATAATTTTATGAATTTGCTTTATTTTTTTTTTTTTATTTAAAGATTTTTTTTTTAAATGTTTGTTTATTTTTGAGAGAGAGGGAGACACAGAATCCAAAGCAGGCTCCAGGCTCCGAGCTGTCAGCACAGAGTCCGACATGAGGCTCGAACCCACAGACCATGAGATCATGACCTGAGCTGAAATCGGATGCCTAACCAACTGAGCCACCCAGGCGCCCCTGAATTTGCTTTTTTTTTTTTTTTTTTTTTTTTTTTTTTTTTTTTTAAATCACCTGCTGGTTAGATTGAACTTGGCTAGATTCTAAGAGAGAGAGAGAAAATCAAACTGGCCATGGTGGCCCCCTCTAGCAGTCTACAGTCTGGGTGGGAGACAAGACACATACACAGAATGCTTAAGACTGAGGAGAGAGAAGCAGCTTTGGGAGATCAGGGGTCTGGCCCAGGACACCTCACCTCCGTGCCTCCCTGTGGACTGGCACAGTATACCTTAAATTCTTAGACATTTTCCCAAGCTCTCCAACCTAGACACATGGAGACACACGCACACACACACACACACACACAGTCTCTCTCTCTCTCTCTCTCTCTCTCTCTCTCTCTCTTCCTCTCTCTCTCTCTTTGGGGGACCCAAATAGTCATTTCAAGTTCTGCATGTCTGTCCCAAAGAGCCCACGTTTTCAAAGCCTATTATCGTTAGTCAGAACACCATGGGGCATCAGCCTGGGACTCTTTGGGTTGTTACTGTTTTGTTTTAATTTTGCTCTATTAGATGTGAGGGCAAATCCAAATAAATTGGAAATGTATGGATTGTAGAGATTTAGTGAATTTTCAATAAGTAAAAACTATCCTCTTCTATAATTAGCAAAAACAATGAGAGTAAGATTTTCCCCAGCATTTAAATGTAAACGCTTATGTTATAATGAATACCACCCTGCACTCCACATCATGGATCACTGAATGAGACATTTATTTATTTATTTATTTGCACCCCCCCCCCGCCCAAAACAGCTTTATTAAGCTATAATTCACATACTGTGCAATTCACCAATTTAAATTGTACAGTTCAGTGGGTTTTTTTGTGTATATTCACAGTGTGGTACAGCTCTTACTATAATAAGTTTAGAATATTTTCATCACCCCACAAAGAACCTCTGTACCAGTCCCTTCCCTTTCCCCTCCTCGAGCACCTGAGAACCACTCATCTACATTCTGTCTCTAGAGGGTTGTCTGTTCTGGGCATTTCATGTAAATGGAATCATAGAATACGCGACCTTTTGTGTGGCTTCTTTTACTTAGCATGTTTTCAAGGTTCATCCATGCTGTAGCATGTATGAATTCTTCACTCCTTTTTATGGCCAAATAATATCCCCTTGTGGATGTACCACATTTTGTTTATCCATTTAGCACTTGATGGACATTTGGATCGTTTCCCCTTTTTGACTATCATGAATAATATTCCAACAATAAATTTTTAAAAATCTGTCATGCCCTGAAAAAAAGTTGAGATTAGTTGAGATTTTTTTATACCTGTATGAGCTTTTTTTTTTTTTTTTTTTTTTTTTTTTTTTTTTTTTTTTTTTTTTTTTTTTTTTTTTGAGTTTATTTATTTTGAAAGAGAGAGAGAAAGAAAGAGCACAAGCAGGGGAGGAGCAGAGAGAGAATTCCAAGCAGGCTCCTCACTGTCAGTGCAGAGCCCGACGCGGGGCTCGAACTCATGAACCGTGAGGTCATGACCTGAGTCGAGATCAGGCACTCCTATGTGAGCATTTTTAATAAAGGATTAATCTAGATATCCCTCCCTTGACTCTGGCTGCCCAAATCCGTCATTTATTGCATGCCTTGTGACTCTGGGGGAAAGTTCCGTGTGTGGATGGCAGTTTCCAGGAGTACGTAACGATTGAGGATGAAATCTCAGACTCCTAACTGCTGAGATCCGTGCTGGGCGAGTGGAAGCAGTAGTAAGATGGTTAGTAGCATAGCTTGTTAGAGAAACATGTAACCATTTTTTCTTCTGTTGTATTTTACACTGTAATTTGTTATCCTTTCCCCTAATGATTGCTAGATAGGTGTTTTCTACTTCCTTGTTCTTACGAGTAGTGCCGCAGGGACCGTTCCGTATGCATAAAGCTAGTACCCTCTGTGAGCGATTCCGTGTGGGTTAGATGCCCAGAGGTTGTCCTGCAAGTGTCGAGAAGTTTGAGAAGCACTATGTTCAGTTCCTAAAGGAACTGCCGAAGACGCTTCCTTCTGTGGGTCACACTACATCTCTGCTTATGATCAATTCTGTAGACAACTTCAAGTTTGCCAGTAAAGGCAGAGTTCGAGAAATGACACACAAAGTTGAGTGTATTGGTTCACTCTTGCCTTGTGACAAACCACCTTAAATCTTAGCAGCTTAAAATCACCACCACCGTATTTGTTCACAGTTCTGTGGGTCAGCTGGGGGTTCTGAGTTGGTTTGACCTGATGGGGGGCTAGGTGGCCCAGGATGGCCTCACCCCCCGCCCCCTTTCCTCAAGGCCGCAGGGCTGGTTGCACCTGCTGCAGCTTCCATTTCTGCACAGTCCCACCCACTGGGAGGCTAGTCCCGGCTTGTGCACGTGGTGTGGAAGAGTTCCCAGGAGCAAGAGAGGCCAAGCTCTGAAGCACAGACACTTTTCACACCTCGGGTTGCATTGCCAGGAATGCTAGTATCCCACTGGCCAGAAAGTCCCGTGGGCCAGTCGAGACACAAGGGTGTAAGTGTAGACTCCACTTCTTTTTTTTTTTTTAATTTTTTTTTTTCAACGTTTATTTATTTTTGGGACAGAGAGAGACAGAGCATGAACGGGCGAGGGGCAGAGAGAGAGGGAGACACAGAATCTGAAACAGGCTCCAGGCTCTGAGCCATCAGCCCAGAGCCCGACGCGGGGCTCGAACTCACGGACCGCGAGATCGTGACCTGGCTGAAGTCGGACGCTTAACCGACTGTGCCACCCAGGCGCCCCTGTAGACTCCACTTCTGACGGTAGGCACAGCAAACTCACAGGGACGGGGGAAGTGTTGTGGCCGTTTTTAGAAAAGTTCAGTCCAGTAAGGAACAACAAGCGCTCACAACAGGAAGGAATTCTGACCATGTGTAGGTTGGGTTGTGGCCTTATGGGCGGTCCGAGGTCGTCCCGTTGTCTCCGTGCACAAGTGGAGTCAGTCTTTATCCTTTCGTCCAGTTTGTTGGAGCGGCATCACAGAGAAGCAGGGCGCGTCTGCGAATTCTTGGGGGCAGAGAGGGAGGGAGAAGGTTCTTAGGATCCGTATTTTAGTTGAATCCTTAGTGTGTGAAGCAAGTCAGAAAAGGTTTGGCGTTGGGCTGTGACTCCATCGAGGATCATGGTGGGGGGTGGGGGGGCCTCCCTGGACATCACACGAACGATGTGAAGGTTTCAGATGCCTCTCGATTTGGCGAGGCAGCAGGCTTCCAATGGGGCTTTGGGCATCACCCCAAATTCAGACATGTTTGGAGAAAAGGGAACCAAAATGTATTTGAATATTTCTAATATGACTTGTTCAATTTACATATCCTAATTGGGCATATATGTTTACTTTTCAATAGATTGGATATAGCGTGCAGTTCTGACGTGTTAGATTTTAGATTGGAAAAGACCTGTTAAGTCCTGGATTTTATTTGGGTGTTTTACTAGTTTTGTTTCTTCTCCTTACTGTGCATAAGATGAGGTTGATACCCGTGCACGCTTTCCTATTCTGTAAAAAGAATATATGTAGGTATAAACCTTTTGAAATTCTTGAGCTCCTTGCAGAAATGTGTCCTGTGAATTCTGTATTTCCTTTTAAAAGTCTGTGTAAGTTGATGTGTCAGTAAATCAATAGCCCTAGAACCTTTGGGAATTTGAAACAATCTATCGGTTTTATGAAATTATAGCATATGTTGATTTTTCAAAATGGCACTAGTCCTAGTTCAGAGTGAATAATGCTTATGCTTCTCCCCCTGAATTTTCTCTGATCCTTCTTTTATTTTTTTTTTAATGTTTATTTATTTTTGAGAGAGAAAGCGTAAGCAGGGGAGGGGCAGAGAGAGAGGGAGACACAGAATCTGAAGCAGGCTCCAGGCTCTGAGCTGTCAGCACAGAGCCCGACGCGGGGCTCGAACCCACGAACTGTGAGATCATGACCTGAACCGAAGTTGGACACTCAACTGACTGAGCCACCCAGGCACCCCTTCTCTGATCCTCCTTACATATGTCATTGCTGCTTACAGTGTCATCGCTGCTGGGGGGAGTAAATGCAGCTTTTTTTTTTTTTTTTTTTTTACCACCGAGTGAGGCAAGAGGAGCCAGGAGGCCAAAACAAGCGATAATCCAAAAAAGTGGAAAGGAAGTTGAACAGTTACTGAGTGCCCACTTGACAAATACACCATTCATTATTTAATCCAAATGACAGGCCAGTGATGACAGAATTTACTAGCTCTACTAGACAGATGAGTCAACTCAGGCATAGAAGTTAAAGTGCCAAGATGCCAGTGGGGCAGGCTTGTTCCTGGTATGAAATACC